TATACAGATCCCTCTGACTCCTGGGCACAGAGCACGCACAGCAGGGATGACTGTATACAGACCCCCTCTGACTCCTGGGCACACACCACACACAGAGCCCGTGGCTCTTCCCCCCGCGCAGCACCAACATCCACGGGCGTTTTCCATCTGCTGCAGCCACAGGGCGGCCGCCAAACCATCCTCCCCGTTTCCAGAAATAGAGCTCCTCTGGGGAGAGGCTCCGTGACAGAGGAGGGGACGGCGGGGGACGTCAGTAAACACGCGGCCAGATTTCACGGAGCGTGAGCAAATCCAGCCCAGAATAATCCTCGTTCCTCTGCTCGAGGCGTTTTCTTGTTTTGCTCCAAATGAAAACATCACTGAATTCAAAGAAAATAAACAGCAGCCGCCGAACTCGGGGCCAGAACATCGCAGAATCAGAATCCGATAAAGAAAATGTCAGTGACCAAAACTCGTCGCCGATGGCAATGGCCAGAGTCCCCCTTTAGAGGTCGTGGGGTATCAGGAACCGGGGATGAAGGCAGGAACTATTCTGGAACCTGGGGGACGTGGCCAGCGTCACTCTCGGGGACATTGTGGTCTTGGCGGTTTCGGGAAGGAGTTTACTTGTTAAGTAACGAGCCGTGGGCCACACGGAGGCGTGCCCACAGAGACACCCAGATCTCAGGGGACGACACACAGGAGGGCTCCGCGGGCCTCGGAGGACACGGGGCTGGTGGGCCGCGCAGAGGGGCCTCAGCAGGGGGCGAGGAGGACGGGGCAGGGGAGGCGCACAGGACCCTGCCAGGGCGTCGGTGCCCGGGTGGTTCCTGTGTGGGACAGGGAAGTCCCTCTGCTTCCCGGGGTCCTTTGTTCCCTGAGCTCCGCCCTGTCCTGCTGCACCCCACAGCAGAGCACCTCTCCCTCTGTATACAGTCGTCCCTGCTGTGCGTGCTCTGTGCCCAGGCATTAGAGCGGGTCTGTATACAGTTGTCCCTGCTGTGCGTGCTCTGTGCCCAGTAGTCAGAGGGGCTCTGTATACAGTTGTCCCTGCTGTGCGTGCTCTGTGCCCAGGAGTCAGAGGGGCTCTGTATACAGTCGTCCCTGCTGTGCGTGGTCTGTGCCCAGGAGTCAGAGGCCGAGTGTGTATACAGTCGTCCCTGCTGTGCGTGCTCTGTGCCCAGGAGTCAGAGGGGGTCTGTATACAGTCGTCCCTGCTGTGCGTGCTCTGTGCCCAGGAGTCAGAGGCCGAGTGTGTATACAGTCGTCCCTGCTGTGCGTGGTCTGTGCCCAGGGGTCAGAGGGGGTCTGTATACAGTCGTCCCTGCTGTGCGTGGTCTGTG